TCAAAGTTAGTTGACTAATAAAAAGGCTGTTGCAATAACCTTTCCTTCCAAAATAAGGAAGGGGTCTGGTGAAGACGGAATAGATGTAGATATGAAGAAGGTGTATCTGACAGATCTTGTGATCAAGTAGATGTCATGAGTACACCAGACGGGAAAATCCAAATTAACTAGGCATCTTTGTAATAGATAAAAAAGTATAATTTAAGATAATTAACCAAAAATATTTTACACCCTCTCAAAAAAATAAAAAAACCCTTTAGAAACACATCCTTGAATTTAAATTATAAAATAAATGGTTTACACAGGCATTCCCTGTTATGAACAATTTATTTTGTTCTCATTTATTGTCATTTTTGTGACAGTCCCTTGCGTTCTCCTGCCCATTGGGAAGAATTTTGTCTAAGCCAAGCTCCAGCTCGGTACTGGAGCTCTTGTTCACAGCTAGAGGAATGGGTGAGGGGAGAAATTGAGAAACACTGAGTACAACTTATTAGATGTTCTCTGGAGAGGGCAGAGAGGCAGCAGAGCGTAGTGAAGGAAAGAAAGTACGCGCACAGAAGCCAGGCTGTCTGGGTTTGAATCCTGTGGTCTCGGGCAAATTACTTACCTTCCCTGGCATTTAGTTTTGCTATCAGTACAATAGAGATAACAGTACCAGTCTCACAGGGCATTGCAAATATGCATGCACTGATATTTAAAGCATTTGTAATAGCATCTGGTTCCAAATACATAGCATAGTCAGCTACACAGTCATGTGTAACAAATAGCTCTTTTATTAACACTGATGGAAAGGAAATGCATAGATACGGAAAGTCAAAGTGGAGAAGAAAAGTGACAACCAGAGTACCATGAATTTGGGCGAGTTTTGGAGTTTGGTTAAAGTGATTAACGGTCCCACTACAGTAAATACAAGACATAAGAAACTCGAGAGAAAAAGGCAAGAAGACTTCAAGGCCTATCACTGTGATGAATGGAATCCTATCCTTCGCTGATTATCAGTAAAAATGTTTCATATTTATGTTTTGGTGATTATGTCCAGTGTTTCTCAGATTGGGGCCTCGACTAGAGACAGTTCTTAAGGTAGAAGCAAGATTGGCTTTTATGCGAATTACATTTTAATAGAATAAATGTGTGCAATTGTTACCTCCACCACAGGGTTTGGAGCACTGAGACCAGCTCTTCAAAGCCCACTCGAAAGTATCTAATTCTTCCTGGATGACATTGTTGCTGTTGATCGTAGGCACGGAGTCTTCATGGATGATGTACTTGTATGTCAGGCTAGAGCGGGTGTCATTCTCTTGAGGTATAATCTGACATACACATGAAATCGATATGTAAATCACTGCAGAGCTTTAAATTTTGAGTGTAAAATTACAAATATTTCAGAATATTGCTCTTATTAAAACTGGAAAACTTTCAAGTATTTTCTAAAATTAGAATTTTTGTATTTCCATCAACTAAAGTGCAAGTGTGCCCTGTTTAAGGAAAAAGACGCAAATATATATAAAACTTTGAACATAAAAATATTAAAAAGTGCATACACTGAGGAGTAAGAGTTTGTATTATGAAAATAATAACTTTACAACATTCACTACAGGTTTCCTTAAATTACACTCTCTCCTTAGTGCATTTTAAAATTGTTCTTTAAAATAAACTGTTTTGTTATGATAATAAAGATAATAATATTCCCTCCAGAAAATATATACATTATGGAAAAATATAAAGAAAATAAAGATCATCCATAATTCTACTAACCAGAGAAAGCCAAAGTCATTTTTATTATTTTTAGACACTCTCTGAAGATATTTGCATTGTGTGTGTGTGTGTCTGTGTGTGTAGAGACATACATACTTTTCCAGCCTTGCTATTTCACTTAATATGTTATGTACATTTCCCTAGCTAGTAGATATTCTTTGAGGACATTTTAAAATTAATCAATTAATTGATTAATCGACTGATTAATTTTTAGAGAGGGAGAGGGCGGGGGGGGGTAAGGCAGGGAGGCTGGGGAGGGAGCAACATCATGCTTTTAAATGTCAGCATAGTCTTTACTCCTAAAAGTGTGACACATTATTTAACCACTTGCTTATTAATAAGTACTTGTAGTGATTAGAATTTGTCCACATCTTTGTGGGGATTTCTAGTTTTCCTTAAAAGGCTAAAGGGTACAAATGCTTTTTATAGTTCTTATAAAAGATCATCGAATGGCCCTCCAGAATACTTAGAACAATGGTTACTTTAAAAATGAAACTATATGAAAATGTTCATTCAACACTATATATAGCATCATTTTCACCTTTATTAATTAGATGGGAAAAAGATCATTAATGGTTATTTATTTGAAAACTAGTAAAGTCTAAATTTCCTGGGTTTATGATTCACTTGTATTTTGTCTGCTGTACATTGCATGATCATCAGTTCTGTTTTTTATGGGTACTGTACACATATTCTTTCTTTTCTAAATAATAAAGTATTCATTCATTTTTTGTAATAAGAACT